ATATGCTGAATTATATAATTTAGTAAATTGAAAAAAAAGGATCATCCAGGATTTGAACCCAGGACCTCTCAAGTGCTAAGTGAGAATCCTACCCCTAAAACAAGGAGGCGCTTGATTTCAAAGGTAATTAAATGCAAACGGTAAGGCACATATACATGTTTATATCACGTTCAACATTGTCAAAATTTCACACAAAGCATGGTGTCTAATTTAGCTTTTACTAAACAGTTCTGATAATTGAATCAGAATATAAAGTCCGCCGACAACATGTATTATATGTAATAAACTCTAAAACTTTGAGTGTGATCGATGCCAACAACTTTCCAATTGCCCTTTGAAAAAAATGCCCCCCTCCCCCCCCCCCCCAAAAAAAAAAAAAAAAACCGGGACAGGATACTTTGAGAGGGGCGAGCAGGGCCATAGGGAGTTACGGTATAAAATTTCATTGCAAAAACTCAAAATCTTGAGATATCGACCGGAAACGAAAGTGTCATACACAGACAGAATGTATGAATTTACGATCATGACATTTAATCTTTTGTCCTCAAAATCAGTAGGGGTCTTCTTTAGGCCATGGGGAATTGTGGTTTAAAATTTCACTGCAAAAAGCTCAAACGCTTCTCGAGATATCGCACGGAAACAAAAGTGTTAAAACATAGAGAATTTATAAATCAATGACCTTGACCTTTCGACTTAAAAATCAAAAGGCATCTTCTTAAGGCCATACGGAATTTTCATGTAAAATTTCATTGCAAAAGCTCAAAGCTTCCCGAGATATCGCGCGGAAACGAAAGTGTTACAGACAGACCGATAGAAATACAGACGGACCGCAATCAATATCCCCCACTTTCAGTGGAAAGCGGGGGACAATAAAGTGTATAATTAGTAAATAACTCAATTTCGACCCTGCTCCGTGACTCCATTTTGCTGTCTTAGATCTTTGATAATTTTGATAAATATCAAAATATATTCAATTTTTTGACTAAAATTATTTAAATCTATTCTTAAAATATGTGTACCAAATTTGGTTATAATATGACGTTAAATAAAAAACAAAAGAAAAAAGTCTACGAATTTTTGAATCACCCTCGTATAATCCGTAAAGTTCAGAGTTAAAATGCCAGAAAGCAAAACCAATCTACCGATATTGTCAGCTCAGTGCTCAGTGATGTGTGCAGACTAAAACAAATGCATACACCCGGTAAAACGTAAACACTTACAATAACAGAGCTCATGTCCTGTTTACAGTCACAAGTGTTTGACTTGATATTATAAAGAATGCCGTTGTCATTGAATTCTTAGAGTATTCATGTAAGTTCATGTCATTAACTGAAGTTTTTTTTTGATTAAAATAGATATTTAAAACTTTAAACAATGAACTGTGTCCAGGCCCTTTAAAAATACATCAAGTTTGTAGCATCTATGTAGTATCTAAATATTGTTTTTTGGAGTTAGATATGTCTACAGTGAATTTGAAAGACTGATTGAAGGTGTTGACAAACGAAATGAATACCACGAGGCCAATTCCAAAAACATATTCTTAGATATTACATCCACCCAGATTGATTGTGAAATCCAGTTTAGTCTCCACACGAAACTCACCGATTCCCACCTGTATCTCATGCCGACAAGCTGTCATCCCCCACACACATTCAAGGGTGTGCCTAAGGGTCTAACCACCAGAATTCGTCGAATCTCTTCAATCTCTTTTCTGTATCAGGAACAGTGCAGTCTCCTCAAGTCCCATAAATGCAAGAGAGGTTACAGGGTTCACACTGTACAAACTGCTGTTGATGAGATGGCAGAACATGACAGACAAAACCTGTTACACTACAATGAAAAAGACAATAGCAGCAGAGTCACTCTGGTAACCACATACCCTCCCGTCCTTAAGAACCTCAGCAGTATTTCTAAAAAGAACCTGGTTGCATGGCAGAGGTCTACAAGGAACCCCGAAGAAACACGGTGAACTTAAAGGACATGGTAGTAAAAACCAGACTGATCTTGCTCTGACAGAAGACGTCTTCTCTGTAAGTACAGCTCTGACACAGACACCTTTAACAGCCCCGTTACTGGTTGCAGTTACAGAATACTGTCGAGCAGACAGATGCATATATCTAATCAGTTGTAAAGTTTGTTCCAAACAGTATTTTGGGGAAACAGGAGACTCCGCAGGAGAATCAATAATCGCGCCTTTCGACCATTAAGGCCAAGAAACTCAATGAACCCGTTGGAGAACATTTCAAACTTGAAGTTCACAAATGAGAGGACTTAACAGTATAGTGGTTACTGGCCAAAATCCAAAATGGACCGATGCTCAGAGAAAAAGCAAAATAAATTTTGGATGCACAAGCTGAAGTCATTCTTCTCCCATGGTATTAACAAACTGAATGACTTTATCGGCAAGAACATTAGTAAGTTAGAACAAAATGATTGCTAATAACAATAATGATATTTTCTCTACATAGTTATTACTTCATTCATTATTTTTTAAAATTACGTTCATCCATTTACTGTTAACACTATCTTGTTTCAAGAATGCTATTATTCGTCGAAAGTTTTCAATTATTCAAAAAAAAAAAAAAAAAAAAAAAAAAAAATAAATTATCAGTTTTCTTCTAATTCTGTTCTATATGTACAATTTCCTTCAGTATTATTCGTTTCTTTTTGGTACCTATATTACTTTGCAATAGTACTACATGTATATGGGGAGAGAATACAACGTTGTACGACTTAACATTTTGCAATAATAAATTATTAGTGAAAATTAATTCGGTCGCTTATAGCATATATTACACCGAAAGTAAAAATTACATGTAAGAATCAACACAAAAGATATGAGTTATCTAAGAGTCAACACTGAAGTTATGTGCCGCCAGACGAACATTATTCGTTTATTTGACCTTTAAATATAAAACCAAATTGCGTGCTTATTGTTTACATAAGGAGCAAGCCTACCGGAGGGCAATGTCATCATATCAAAATGTAAGTTAAAATTTAAACAGAAAAGGCAATATCAAGATTTTAAGAAATATTGTTTACTTAAATGATTAAATGTCTGGGAAAGGAATGGATATAATTTATTATTATTTCGTGCAAATTATGTACTTTCGGTTTAACGGTTCTTTTCTTACAATGGCGTCCATTTTTAGGGTGTAATAGATAGATAGCATATATGATCAGTGTATCATCCAAATAGATCTGTCTTATGCTGTCTATCGCTTTTAAGCTTTTAAACTTTTTAGACGTTCAATTCATCTTCAGCTGATAAAAATCAATAACAACATAATAATTTTGTGTTTAGTAGATATGGAGAATAACAATATTTTGTTAAAATTTCCCATCAGAATAAGATGTTATGGTAGAACACAACACCCATGAAATCTATTTTTACACATATTTTATAAAGTACTCCAGAAAAAAGAATAATTTCACTATAATGTCAAATAATCAAGGAACTTTGTAAAAAAGTAATAAGCTGAGACATGTTTTCAACATATTTTGAAGAAAATTAGAGACAACCTATATATTGGTCATTCGGGAGCCTACATTATCGATCGTGTTTATGTCATCTACATGCCATTTGAACTGGATATTTGGATATGTTTATAAGAAGTCTCTATTCTTTTTGTACAATAAAGGTCATGGTAATATTAAGAGGTCAAAGGTCAAATATAGTGCCGTCATCTACTGAATCTCTTTTTTTGGCATTTTATATATTTAAAATCGCCAAAAATAACTGAAACCACCAGTTCAAATTTCCTCATTTCGACCTATTTTAATCTGGGTTCCATTTCAATTATTCTGTTGAATTTTTGTTAAAATTTAACATTTATACATATTCTTTTAAGAGGACTTAATGTGTGGCATATTTACATGTGAATTTCGGGCTATCCCTGTTCTGTTTTTACATCACATTTTAGTCAAATATATTGGTATCAAAATATTTTACTAAATTTTAGTACCAAAAAGTTGCCTTTATAAATAAACTCACACACAAGTTTGCAATAGATGGTTATTTTTAAATAATGCACAATCTCAGGTCGTCTGTCTGCTTTCAAAATCTTCTTAGAGGAGTCTGAACGGCCTTATTTCAAACTATGTGGGCAAAATATGTATGGTTGAATTTCTTTCATATTACATATAAAGAGAAATTTTGTATCCTAGAACAAAATATCTAAGTTTAAACAAAATTGAATTTGAGGCAAAATTTGGCCTATCTATTGTGTACCGCTTTTAAATAACAGGGGAATGAAACTGCATGGTTTGACAATAATTAAGGGAATTCATATGGAAAAAAAGGTATGTATACATGTACATTTTCGGTGATATATATTTTTTGATGATGACGATGATGATGATGATGATGATATATATATATATATATATATATATATATATATATATATATATATATATATATATATATATATATATATATATATATATATATCTTAAAATACATTTTTTTGTAAATTAATATACAACCCCGTCTAGTAATCTTGACCTCGACAGGATAAGAAAATCTATATGAATGGTTAATATTTGAAAAAATACAATTAGACCAGTTTTATTTAAAAATTGTTTTAAAAAACCTTAAAGCATTTATTTTCGTCATTTTTAATCCATGAAATTCAATTAGATTCAAAGTCATATTCCTCTTAATAGATGGATATAAAAACGGATAGATTCTTACTGCTATACTGTTGAATAAAAACAGCAAGATATGATAAGAAAAAGTAATATAGTCCAAGAGAAATGTTAATTTTATATACATAGAACTTATATGTAATATTTCGAAAATTTATATTTTGGGGGTCTTACATGTTTAATCTAATGTTATTTGTCTGTATTATCTGTTGTTATAAATGTAGAAAAAATACAGACCTTAAACATGCAGAAAATATTTACAATTTTTTATAACAACATGTAATCGGTAAAGTTTTTTTGAAATATAATATATATAGAATATTCTGTTTACAGCTAGCAAAGGCATGTTCAAACAATGAAAAGGACAAGTAATAAAAACCAGGAAAAATGTTAATATATTTTTCTATGGTCTTGGTAAGTAAAAATTATTATCTTATATGTAGTCGTATAGTCGTCTTTAGGCCTTTTTTTTTTTTTTTTTTTTTTTTTTTTATAGATTTTCACCTTGTAGTTTGTTCTTCAAGAAAAAAAAACCCCAAAATTTATATTGTCAAGAGTTAACTTTCTTTACAATTTTTTTAAAATTCATAGTTTGGTACATCTTTTAAAATTGTTTATAAAAGTATAGAACTGTTTCAATGTGTAAATTAAAAACAAAATAGATAAAATCTTTTTTAGGTCACCTGAGTCACTCAGGTGACCTTTTGCTATCAGCTTTTGTCTGTCGTCATTCGTCGTCCGTTGGTCATAAACTTTTGAACATTTTCAGCTTCTTCTCTTGGACCACTGACCCAATTTCAACCAATTTTGGCATACAGCATCTATGAGTGAAGGGAAACAAAAATTGTAAAATTCATGGCTCCTGCCCCCCTGGGGTATGAGGGATGGGGCTAAAACCACCAAAATGAATGCAAGCTTAAAAATCTTCTTCTTTACTCATGAACATCAAGAAGTCAAACTATTGGCATGAATGTATTAAATAAACTAAGTAATAATTATGTTGAACAAGACTGCCTCTTCCAAAATTGGTAATTTTATGGCCCTTGGGTCAGGGGTTTTGGTGTTAGGGCGGTGCTCTATTGATTATATAGTAAATTGTATTAATTCTTTGAAAATCTTCTTCTCTGCTCCTGGGTAGGAAACAGACATTGTTATGATAAGCAACAGTGCCTCTTCCAAAATTGTTAATCTCATGGCTCCTGGGTCAGGGGTTCTGGTGTTAGGGCTCGGCTGTATTGATAATATAGTGAAAATGCATTATTTCTTTGAAAATCTTCTTCTCTGCTCCTGGGTATTATTTATTTAAACAAAGGAAGGGCATGGTTTTGATAAGCAAGAATGCCTCTTCCAAAATTGTGAAATTCATGGCCTCAGACCCAGGGGTTCTGATGAAGATGGGGGGAGGATCTATTGATTATATAATGAAAATGCATATAATTACTTTCAAAAATATTTTCTCTACTCCAGGTTATTGAGCAAAGAAACAAGTGTATAGTTATAATGAGCAAGACAAGGGTACTTTTACAAAAATTTTAAAACTTATGGTCCCAGGTGTTCTCGTGTTTCTCCGAGGGAGGGGCTTAATAATATAGTGAAAATGTGTGCATTCTTTGAAAATCTTCAACTACTTCATAGTTATTATGATGAGGTACCTCTTACTTATTTGTAAATTTCATGACCCAAGGTAATGAGTTTTGGTGTTAGGGCTATGTTGAATCTCTAGTAAAAATGCAATATATATATATATATATATATATATATATATATATATATATATATATATATATATATATATATATATATATATATATATATATATATATATATATATATATATTAGAAAATCTTCTCTGCTCCTGGGCATACTGGAGGCAAAGAAAAAGTTTTAATAAGCAAGGGTATTTTTACTGAACATCTAGACCATTTAGTCAAGTGTTCTGGGCCTGGCCAGGGTTTTCTTAATTTGTATTCTACTGAGCAAAGGTATTACCCTTTGCCATTCACCTTTGATAATTGGTAACAGTGCATAATGCATTTGAAATGTTAATACAATAGGAGAATTATGCAAAAGCATTTATGGTATAATACAAAAAGTACATTCATAGTTTTATTGATCCGGTAGACTTGGGAATGATAGATGATTGAAAATGAGACAAAAATAACATATCTTTTTAAATGTTCTTCAAAGGCCAAGAGAGGCAAATATGAGAGGTAGTAATGTGGGGTTACAAAATTAATAATTTTAAAAATTAATATTTTGTTAATAGTCTGCGTGGTAATAGTGATAAATGGAGGACAGATAGAAACAAGACCAACTATTTGGTTGATCCTAATTATACTATTTTCTTGCTTTTGGGCAACTAAGCTTCATTTATCAGTTTATTGATAATCTAATTTGCTGTACTCAAGTGGCCGTTAAGGTCATTAGGTCTCTTGTTTAAATGAAATGTCAATTACTATCATAAATATTAGCTAAAGAAAATAAAAGTAATTTTTTTCACCATATGTTGGTTTTCTTTCATAACTGATTATTTGAAGCGTGCATTATATGTACATTACATTACATGTACTTAAACACTGGTAAGATAAACTATTGGATATTTTAGGACTATTTATTCTGACTTTTTTCTGTTATCAGAGGGTCGCCCCCCTTAACAAAAATGTTCAATGAATACCTTGCTAGCATGCATTAGCATTAAAAGTGTGTATCTGTTCCTAGAGAAAGTTATTACCGGTAGGTTGTCAAATAATTAACTCTGTACATGTATAACAGAATGACACGACAAATGTCACAACTATTCATTTTTGGTATAAAATATAAAAAGATAAAATAATAATAATAATAAAAAAAGGCATACAATTACTGAAATATGAAATGTTTTTCCATTGTATGTTTTCAGAATTTAACATTAAAAAGAACCTCTGTTTTCCAAATACTTTAAAGTTCCATTTGAAAAACAATTTATTGAAAATAGAATTAAAATAATTTCTCCGCCTAATGTATTTGGAGATAATTAAGTGTTTCTGTTTTTAAAACTATTTAAATTGTGTTATATGTAACTAGAAGCAAATGTACAGGGGAGTGTTTCTGCTCTCTGTTGTTTGTTTTTGCTCTTAACGCATGTACGTCTGTTAATATTCAAGATTTTTTGTTTATTTTTTTCTAGCCACTGTACTCTTTCTACCAAACTTTTCTTAGAGCATCCCTAGGCGAAGGGAATTCAAGTTTGTTGCATGAAAGACTACTCAGTAATTCGAAGTGGTAAACGTGTAATGAGAAAGAGAAGAAATATCTTATGAAAACTCTTTATCTCAGAAATACGTCCCTCAGAAAATTTGAAAATTATTTGAAAATATTTTATGTAGATTCGTTCAAAATTATTTAAATGGAATGTGACGGTGTATTCGCAATGGGGTATCCAAGTTGTACACGAAAACTTATAAGAATATATCTTTTGGAAGTCTCCTATTCTAAAGAACAGCAAGGTCAAATTAGACTTATTAATTAGTTTAGTCCTATACCGATGAAGCCGGAGGGCACTACAGGTTTTCTCCGCGTCTGTCCGTCTGTCCCTCTGTCTGTCTTCTTGGTTTTCGGAACTTTTCTTCTAAACACTTGGAATGCATGTTTTGAGCTGATATTTGGTATGTTACTTTACCTTGATGAGTTATAGATCAATTTTGCATTTTTTTTTTATATGCGATAGAAATGTGAAGATAATGAAAAGTAATCATGCTGAAACGTCCGATTCAACAATAAAAAAAATATGAGCAAAACAAATATGGACCTTTGAAATCATCAGTGTTATTATATAGTCTATTTATAGTCCCTATATAATCTATATAAACGCAAACAGTTCATAATACTACAATTTCACTGGATTTGAAGCCGTATTCACCGGAGGGTCAGTATGCGTGCAGCGGTATTGTGACGTCACAATCAACACCTCAAACAACGTTGTAAAAACGGTTGCAACGGCCGGAGCAAGCTGTGTATCTGGGCAGGAAAAATGTTACACAATTTATCGCAGGATTATTTTCTAAATACTTTGATGTCTTACACATAGCGAAAGGAAAACACGGAAGTTACAACTTGTCATCTGGATTTTTTTTTTCAATTTTTCTACGACAGAAGTTCGTAAATGAAAATGGTGTCGTCATGCAGCCTTCAATGTCTTATTTATTAAAATCCGGACTATATAATAAAACAATTATGGAATCTTTCGGTGGTGAATATGGTTTGTTATTCACCAGAAAAATATCAATATTGACCTCTGCTTCGCCTCGGTCAATATTGATATTTTTCTGGTGAATAACAAACCATATTCACCACCGAAAGAGTCCATAATTGTATAATGTCCTATAAAATATTAAGTCATTTCTGCATTAATCCAATATATATTTATATATGTGATTTTTTTTTGTATAAAAATATTGGAAGAATTTAATTCTAAAGCAAATCTTTCCATTCTATATTTCAGGTTCGAAGCACAATTGCATTCAGTTTAAACTTGAATACTATAATCAGCAATTATTCTATCTAGATTAGACCAGGCTTTATTTACATTTTCTGCCACAATTTATTTTTTAAATTTTCATATTTGCAGATATGCTTTAAAATAAGTATTTTTTCTGTTATATATACTTTTGCCAGTTTGTTGGGAGTACAGATACATGTACTATATAAAAGGTGTGCAAAGAAAAGAGAAAACAATGTTAAAACACCTTCAGTTGACTGTCTTTTCAGATTTCTGCTTTGAAGGGCTACATATGCCTTCCAACACAAGCGTGCATATGGTCAAATAGAACGCTAAATGTTGTTGATTCTTGTCCAACAACTAAAGAGGAAACAATAAAAGCAGCAAGGATCAAAAGATGTGATGGCATTGCAAGGAGTCAAAACTGTACTAAACCATCTCAATTCAAGTATCATTGTATATATAGCTTCCGTCAAAAGATGTTTGTTGAAGTTTGCTCAGTCGAAACTGATGTTCATGGTACGGAACTAAGTAATAAATTTACTAGCAAGCAATGTTCTTTAGTTCGAAAAAAAAACTACAGAAACTTACTGAGATATATTTTTTGTAAATTCTTCTCATTTTTTAAAAGGTGTATGTATCGTTTATGATACGAGATTTTCGAAGATTCAACCTGTTTACAATATAAAATGTAGAGATATTTCTGCGGCTTGTCCAGAAAGTTATCTATCGACTGAGGGACATTTGTGTGAGTACTTTTTATAAATTACTTTTTGAATCAATGCAGCCATCTTTAAGGTTAAATATTATAAAAGGCGATCAAAAGTGTGGTTTTATATTCAAAATACATATTATGTGCATCAAAGAAACACCGACAAAAAAGCTATAGAAAAAAAAAAAACAACAACAACAATGGATTATCATAGTAAAGTACAGATTCCTAACGATAATCAGTAGTTCAGTAAGGTCAATCAATATTTTAAGGGGTTTTCCACAGTAAATCAATTTTTTAAGTAATTTATAAAAAAGTCCTAATAGAAATTCAAAACATTTTCATATGAAATTCAAAATATTCACGAGAACATTATTTTCGAGTAATTACGCGTGTGTCTCTGCTCGCGAAATCTTCATTCTCGGGCGTAAATTTATATTGTTAAGGATTATATACACCACAAAAACCATAGCTCGAGATAATTTTGTCTCGTTTGTAAATACCAAATACTGTAAACGTATTACATTTGGCTGTGTATTCTTTTTAGCGCCTTTGGTGGAAAGAAACGTCCGCTAATTCAAGTACAACGCTAAATGTCTTTCACATGTATACATAAATAAGAACATTAAAAAATTGCGCTAAATCAGATCTTTGCTAATTTGTTCAAAAATCAATTTCCGCCAAATATCGTACACATTAAATATAATACATTTACAGTAGCTATCTCGCGAAAAAAGTGTCGTTCAAATATATATTGACCTACAATTTTGCAGGTATATTTAGTCTTTTGAATCCCTGATGCAGTAATTAGTTAAGAGCCATTCTCTGTAATGACATGAACTTTTGCTGTGGCACGCATAGTCTCAGAATTTATCCAAACGCTCTATAAAAAAAGGCTTTGATACCGTAAACTTAAATCAGGCAAAAAGTGCTTGCTATGCATCGTAATAACCATGGCAACATGACCTTAAATTTGAAAAAAAATTGCTTAAATGCATGACAAACAGGTTTGGGAAATCAACTATTAAATATGTAACTAGATAAACAATTCACTCAAATGTAAAAATAAAATCAATCATGGGTTGAAATGCAACCAAATGAGAGAAAAGAGCTTGTAATACATACCAAGGACAAAATATGTTATTTCTTATTGGCTGGCAATGATGGCCATGAAGGCTTTAATATTGATATAAAGTTAACGAAATCGAATATTTTCCCTTTTTGGTAATCATAGCTGCAGTGTTTTCTTTTTTTTTTTATCAAACTTTATCGATACATAATATTTAACCTAAGTTCTACCAGATAAGCACTATTCAAGGTGAGTGAAATAAAATGTTTCTTGATTAAAAAGTAAGTAAATTCCTAAAGCAGCAATATATATCACTTTAAACCACAGGTATGTTGTTTCCAAATCCATGGTTACACTGCAAAGTAGCAATTAATCCCAATTCTTCTTATGTTGTCGGTGTTGCAAGGTCCTAAGGATGTATATTTGTCAGTCTTGAATTTTCATGTTTTTCCTCAAGATTGTAGCATTAACACAATCTTAGTAACTGATTGCTTGGTTACACTGTGTTACCATGACAACCATAAATATTATTCATGGAATATTATTGGTATTTAATTATTTCTTATGACATATATGTACATTTTACCGCATCGAATTTTGAAAAGCTTAAATATCAGGTTAGAGCTGGTCACGGAGGAAGATGAATAAATGACCTGAATTATGTAAAATATATTCAAGTCTCACAAGATATTCAATTTTGATTTCACGTGATTGCGTCAAAACTACTATGCAGCTATATTTCATTTCGATCAGAAATTTTAGTTTTTGTCCAGTGTTGGCAATATTCAAAAGAGAAACATTTAATCAATAATATATATATATATATATATATATATATATATATATATATATATATATATATATATATATATATATATATATATATATATATATATATATATATATATATATATATATATATATATAATAAAAGTGCCGATATTTCCACTTTGCACATTTACTGCACTGCCTAGCCAGGAGTGTTTGTCTGCTGTGGAACTTGTTTGTGTGTGAATTGACGGGCTGTTACCCAAAAGCGCAGTAGTTTTGAACGTTCGATAATTAAAAATGGACTATTTAGCCATTTGTTATTCAGTATATAAATATATTGTTTTATTATATAATTGAATAATTCCTTTCTTTCTGATTGGGTGAGATCCAACAATGTAGAAAAAATACCATATTATATTCACCTGCACGTGACCTTCCAGGTGAATATAAGGATTTATTTTCTCCACATTAGACTAAAAATAGATTGGCAAATTCCACTTTGATGCAAATAGTTTTGGCAAGTTGTTTCACTTGCACCTGACTTCCATTCATTTGAACATAACATTAAGGCACATAGATTCTTGGGTGAGGGATGGGCGTGGATGTGGGGGGTTGCAGGAGGCCTGCCCCTCTCCCCACCTTTTAATGTAAAGTTTTAATCTAAATTTTAAGGATGAAAATTTTCAATGAAAGACCTCCTACCCTAGTTTATGGACCTTAACATCCCACCAAATAAAATTTTGAGTTGGGAAAATTCTTTTCTTATTTATTTATTTTTTTTTGGGGGGGGGGGGGTAGGCTAGTCAACGATTTGTTTTTCTGTAAGTTGTCAATTTTTTCCTCGTAATGCCCCTTTTTTCAAATTCAATCCTAAATATTTGCCTGCCATTTATTTTTTCTATATTGCACCTACACTTGAATTAAAAATTCCAAAATGATACAACTAGTTATGTTTTTAACCCCGTTTCTCTCATTTATAATGTTTAGCTAGTACTTACTTCAGTAAATGTAAACAAATAAGATGGCAAGTAAAGAGTGTGCGTCATTTAGTTTTTGAATCATACATGTATAATAAAGCAATTATTGCTGTTTTTTTCGGTTAATACGATGATTTAGCCACTTCGAATTACAATACTGACCTCGCCCTTCGGGCTCAGTGAATATTGCACTCCTCAGGTGTCTAAATCATCGTATTGACCTCCAAAACCAGCAATAATTATACCCCACGCAACAAGTTGCGTGAGGTATAATGTTTTTGACCCGTCCGTCAGTCAGTCAGTCAGTCAGTCCGTCAGTCCTGTTTTTTTGTCAGCGCAACTCCTCATAAACCGCTGCACAGAATTTCGTCAAACTTTGCAGATATTTAGGACACAATGTGTAGATGTGCATATTACCAGGAAATTCCGATTCCTTTATTTTTTCTCGGAATTTCGGCACTTTTCAACTTAGATTTTTGGCCATATCTTGAATATGGAGATGAACAGTTTGTCAGCACAACTCCTCATAAACCAATGCACAGAATTTGGTCAGACTTTGCAGATATTTAGCACACAATGTATAGATGTGCATATTACCAGGAAATTCCGATTCCTTTATATTTTCTTGGAATTTCGGCACTTTTCAACTTAGATTTTTGGCCATATCTTCAATATAAAGATGAACAGTTTGTCAGCACAACTCCTCTTAAACCGCTGCACAGAATTTGGTCAAACTTTGCAGATATTTAGGACACAATGTGTAGATGTGCATATTACCAGGAAATTCCGATTCCATTATTTTTCTGGGAATTTCAGCACTTTTCAACTTAGATTTTTGGCCATATCTTGAATATAGAGATGAACAGTTTGTCAGCGCAACTCCTCTTAAACCGCTGCACAGAATTTGGACAAACTTTGCAGATATTTAGTACACAGTGTGTAGATGTGCATATTACCAGGAAATTCCGATTCCATTATTTTTGCCTTAAGAGTTTTGCCTTTTTTTGAAGAAACTTTCCAGCTAGGTAATAAGAAACTCCACTGGAATCAGCTTTTTATAATGAAATTCTATGTGAAATATTTTATGACCTTAAAAGACCCCTATTGATTTTGAGATCAAAATATTAATGGTTTAACACAAACACACACTCACACACACACCATCTTCGATAGTTCTCTCCCCCCCCCCCTTCAAATTGGTGTGCTTTGCCTTAAATAATTTCATAAGTACAGTATATAAACAGATTCATATGACTACATCATAATTTTGTTTCCATCAATTATTTAAATGTGTAAACTGTCATGTGTTGGACATGGACTTACACTCATTAACAAATCGAAATCACTGAGGAATTTAAATAACAGTTTGTCAGCATAATTCCGGCACTGAATTTCCTGAAACTTTGTAGGTATTTCAGAATAATGTATAGATTTGTATATTACCAAGAAATTTTGATTCCATTATTTATCTAGAAACTTCAGCCCAGTTAAATTTGTAACATACAAAGATTTGAATGTCCTTATATGCAAGAAGTTTTGATGTGATGATTTTTTGCAAGTAATGCCCCTTTTTTGAATTATACTGTGTATTTAAAATGCACTGTGCCATTCATTACGTGTTGCATTGTCGAGTTTTGGGGAAGCGTGGGGTATGTGAGCTTGCTCACCTTTTCTTTCATTGTATATTGTATGATAATATGGAATATTATCAAAATTATAGCAAATCTTGAAAATCTAAGATGCTTTTTATAGAATATAGTATGTTTGTAGTTCTTATCGATGTACCCATAAATCTTTTGCAACACTATTCTTTTTTAATGTACTAGGCATATTTCAGCTAAATACCGAGTCAATATAAAGGTAATAATTTTTCAGATGCAACATGTCCTGGGCTGATGAACCTGACAATGTATGATATGACAGGGAAAAATAACAATCCTGAAAACCCGGAAAATAACGAACAGTAAGTATGAAAACATTTATTTACTCTGAAAGTGAAATTTTAACATTTCTTTTATCATTGATTCATCGAACTTTAAAATGTATGTATGAATAATAGTTTTAATTTAGAAACACGTCTTATTTGATTTCTTGAAATATAAAACCCTCATTTCCAGACGGTTACAATGTAAAATGTTTAATCGAACAATTTCATTATTGATATATGTACAATAATTCATAACTAATTTGATATACAATTAATTATGTGTGAATCAAGTTAATCAAGTTTAAGTAATGTTGCGGAATGACTGCACTTTATCCATTTCCCTGTTCAACCTAAAGAAAAAATTAAATTTATTGAGCAACACATTAATTTTCATCAGTTTAGTCCTTAGATATACCCCGTCTCTAAGCGTAAAATGAGAAAAGAAAAATTCTCTGATTTATTAATTAAATCAAGAATTCCGGAATCTCTCTAATTCATAATCGTTTACACCGATCTTTGAAACAATTGTCTAACCAAAACATTTCTCTTACAGTATTGCGAGTAATTCTGACTGTCTCTCTCTCTTCCTCCATGCGTGTGTGTTTGTTTATCAATCTCTCTCTTCACCACCTTAGTACATGTAAATATTCGTCAAAACAATATATAGACGACAATATGTGCCGATGCTTGACTGTATATATTGTCATTCATTATGCAAGAGAAAAATAAGGCTCGTCTAGGCACATGTCACCGGCGACAGTATGTACAGATGGACGACAATATGTGCAGTGAGGGTAGTAATATATTGTCGCCGACGACAATATGTACAGAACGAGAATATGCACCGTCACACCAAGCTTAAGCTATTCTATCATTGAGGACTTATAAATGAAAAAAAAAAAAAAAACATTTTCTGTGTTACAGAAAAAATCTGTATATTCTATCTTGTTCTCCCATTCTTTTTAGAATTAATATAAGGTAAACATTTGTGGTATTTTCCCCTGTCCCTTTTCAGCTCATAAGCGATGAAAACATGTATAATATTGTAAATAATGTCACATCCATAATCCATATCGGTGGTATTTGAGGTTTGACAAGGAATATGTCAATATTAGCCAATATGAAGACTTTTAATATTGACTTGTAATTGAAAAAAAGTAGACAATGAGAATTGCATATCGACAAAATTTCATTAAGGAATTTTTGTCGCAGTAAGAATAATGATCATTTTAATCACTCGTTTCTTTGTATCTAATTGATTAAATGGAGATTATCGTTGTTGCATGTTGTAAATTCCTATCATATTTTAGGGAAAAGCATGAGTCTTAATCGAGGAAATAATTAGGGAAAATTTAACACTTAGAATGCTCAATGAAACCCCCTTTTTATTGAACTATTGAAGGAATGTGTAAATGCATTACTCTCAGAATGTGATATTAATATCAATAGCAATATATTCAATATTTCAATCTTGGGTTTACAATTCCAATCAAATGTCTGTTAATTATTCTATATGCTTGTCGACTATTCAGCTATATATACTACATTTTTGTGTTTTTAAAAAAGCCTGTAAATCTTTCAAATTTCAATGATAAAATTTTTCTTTAAGTTTGTTTAATTTTTTTTGAATGTTTAAGAAAAATGTATTATTCTTTTTAAATTTCAGGATTTTGATAATTCTGGTTGTATTGTTCCCAGTCCTTTTCATCATCATCATCTGCATCTTCATACGTTTTAAGTCTAAAAGAAGGCGTTTGTACCATGGACAAGGTAAACACTATTTACCTTATCAGAGCTATTAGCATACATAAGATATTATGATCAACTGTTGCACGGCGTCTGCCTGTCTTCTGTCAGTAGACACATGTTCGTTTCTTTTTTTTTCAGAACTATTCAACCAATATTTCATAAAAAGTAGGCACATAAATGGAATTAAATGGAATTAATATTGTTCAAAGGTGAACCTACCTCCTTCTTATGTAGATAATAAGAAAAAAAAAGAATTTGTTCATTAATTATTTTTTAAGATCCAGTTCAAGAGAGAAAGAAGAAACTTTTGTTTTACCTTCCTGGCACAGTTAAAATAATTCCAAATCATGACATCTGGGGTTCAGGTTTTGTCACATTAGGGGTCATAGTTTTTCATACTAAGAATATCTTCAAAGGATTGAAGTAATCAAAAACTTCTTTCAAAAAAAGGGAATTCATTAAAAAAGTTGAAGCGTATATGCTAAAACGTTGAAGCGTATATGCTAACTATGCAAGTATCCTCTGATGAAGATTCTTAGTGCATATCCATATTTCTTTAAATAAGTGCCCAGATGTCTTGGTTGGGAAACAACAGTGGTTAACATTGTAAGTGGGAAGATATGGAGAAAAACCTTGAAATTTATTCACCTTTAATCATAACAAAACTATAAAGTAAAAATTCTTAAAAATGTTCATTTTTTTCTCTTTTAAACTATAAACCATAAGTTAGGGTTCGGATTAAACTCACAGAAAGCATTAACATAGGATTAACATTTATTCTCCATAACAGCAATTATGATATCCAAGTTTTATTGATTTTACTTCGAATATAAAAGCATCCCAATTTTTTTTAGGATTTAAACATCCTTTATAGTAGGTACGTAGGTGCCACAAAATGAGATCACACTTTTACATGAAAATAAGGGGAAAAATAGTCATAAAAACTGAAGAAGAACATCAAAGCTAAGGATATTGAGATGAGCTTTTTGACTTCGGCCGTCTGGTCGTCTGTAAACTTTTTCACACTTTCGACTTCTTTTCATAGATCACTTGGCCAATTTCAAAATAACTTATTAAAAAATATCCTTTGGTAAAGTTTGCTCAAACGATGCCGCGTGCATGCTTTAAATGTAAAGAAATTGAGAAATTGAGAATAAGTGAAAATTGATTGCATCTTCTTCTCAAGGACATATGCGCTAAAAAGATAAAACTTATATGAAAGCTTTATTACATAAAGTAGATTTGATTTTATTCAAATCATGACCCCGTGGATAAGTTTTGGGCAGAAAAGGCGACCAGAGTTTAAAATAATCCCCGATTGTAGGGTGGGGCCTCGATAGAAGATCGAAATTTTACATAGAGATATAAATATAGGAGATATCTTTGAAAGTCTTTCTTTAATGAACAGAAAGCCATTATTATACAAATTAATAGACAGCCATAGGCAAGCGTTCTTTAGAGAAATGCAAGAGAATTAAACATTGAGATAAAAACCTTAGCCTCAGTCACATATTTAAATTTTGTATCACTTTTTTGGAATTGGGATCATTTTTAACAGTGTACAATTTCCAGTAGGATGCACATATATAAAACGTAATCTGGAGATCACTTTCAACAGAATATTCAGTTTTTGTTGTTGGCGGGTGTCTTATTCTTAGAGTTCGAAAAGTGAACACCTGAAATTTCTCTACTGGAGGTCATTTTTAGTATTTAGATCGGAATGTTTACGAGGAAGTGTTTTAAAAAGGAGAAAACATCAAAATGTAATGTAACAGAGACATTTATGTGCCTCTGCTGGGGATTGAACCCGGGGCCTCTGGCTTGCCAGTCTAGTGCTCTACCAATTGAGCTAAAGGGTTAACCCACTAGCCCAAGCTAGTAGGAAGCCATGTATCTGACACTACCACATTAATATCAGTACTTGTTGAGAATTTATAATATCAAAGTTATGAAGTAAACTTCCATCTCCGTAAATACCACCACCCAATCTAAGGGAGGGGACACATAAATTTATATCTGAAACTTTCCCCTTATACTGACCGGTCACAACTGTAAGGAGTGGTGTACTTTCCGAATATGTAAGCCAACTTACCATTAAAATATTGTATTATTGTAAGCAAAAACTTGTTTGGTCTTTATTTCTCCTATCAATTTAATTTTTTTAAGTACATTTCTTTTTTGTAAATTTGTATTGTGACACATCGACCTTGCAGAGTTGGAATCTTCATCACTAGACCCCCAGTTATATAAAAGAAGATATCATTGTTGCAACCACTATTGCAAAATAAAACGATCACTATTGAAATGATATTTTCAATATCAATATTGGCTGAGACTGCACTGCAAAACAACACCCCATTGTAACTTCTTTTGAAATGAACATCACTATTGAAATAATTATTTCTGTAGTGATAGAAATGCACTTCAAGAAGAACAGCATTTTGTAGCAACTTTTTAAATAACAACCACTATTGAAAAAAAAATATTGATTGAGAGTGCACTTCAAAAACAACACTTTGCAACAACTTTTGAATTAGCGACTACAGTTGAAATACTGGTTCTTAGTACTGGTTTCGTCTAGAATTCATTTAAAAACAACAACCGCTTGCAACTACTATTGATATAGCGACTGCTATTGAAATATTCATTTCGATTTTGGTTGAGAATATATTTCTAAAACAACACTTAACTGCATCCTCTATTGAAATAAAAATCATTAATAAGATAATTATTTCAATAATGTTCGTTATTTTAATAAACCACGGATGTTACAACACACTTTAAAAAAAGTTGAAGTGCGTAAAATTTGGGACCAAGTTAACGCACTTTGAAAAAAAATCATTTCAAAGTGCGATAATATCTACCATTTTACCCCACTTTGAGAAAAAGCGCACGGTTTGGTCAATATTCTTGCAAATTGTAGTATGATAAATAAGTAGTTGAACCTAGTTGGATAACTTTTTGTAATGACGTCAATTCAGAATCTGAGATATAGACGTGTTAAGGATTTTTAGGGGTTGTCTTGTTCCCAAAGGTTCTCGTAAATGTTATGAAAGGGAAATGGGTCTTTTAGAAATAATGGAGGAATGATTGTTTAATAGCACAATTTTCGTTTCCTTTTTAGCTCACCTGAGCGACCAACAATAGGGAATCCAAGTTTTATGTTGAATAAATAGATTCTAAATTGTTCAAATCATGGCCCCTTGGGTTAGGGCGGGGCCATAATAGGGAATCCAAGTATTACATTGAAATATGTCGAAAAAATCTTTAAAAATCTTCCCAAGAACCACT